CCTGCCAATACCGCCATCACATCCGTCTCCGTCCTCAAACCATCCGACGACCTGGCCATTTTGAAGGACGAAGAGCAAGAAATAGACCAAGAGTTGCAAGAGGTCCATTGGAAAGCCATCACTCATCACACAATAATTACAAGTGTCATAACAATATTAGTAATTATTGTTCTAATCAGCATTTTGTTCTATAGCTTAAAACGCATCTGTCAAGCTATCAGACGACCACGTCAGAGCAGAAGCCAACCCCAGGATCTAAGGCCAGCCCAAGGTCCAAGCCAAAGACTGGATGAAGGGATCGAGCTTCAACCTCTCCGAGTTGACAGCGACCAAGTGTACGCCGAACCCCGTCGTTAGAGTGTGTGTATGTGTTCACAGTGTCGACTTAGCGAGTGGTAGTGTTAGAATTAGAAAAGCATTAATTAATTTTAAGTCAATCTAAGTACTTTTGTAATTGAATTTGGTTAATGTTAAAGGTTAATTTAAGTATTGGTTGTCAATTAGTTTTTTTCATCATTTTTTTCTTTGTGGTCGGCAAGATGTTCAAACGAACAATTTTCATTTTTTTATAAAATTTAACATTTCGACAAGTTTGTCGCAATAGTGCACCGACCCGAGCAGACACTTCCGCGCGGTCAGCAACGATCAGCGAAATGTCTTAAMTGGGTCATTATGCCAGCGACAAACAAACAATCATCAATATAGTTTTATAAAATAAATTGGTAATTCATCATTAAGGTAGCCAATGTTTTAGATTTACTGTTTTAGTTTAAGTTAGAAATTGTATATAATCAAATTATTTTTATAATAAATCGAGTTTTTATAATAGTACAACAGCGACTGTTATTTGCTACACAACCCTTAAGCTTCGCCGAACAGTAGGCGTAATTTATAATAAGTTGTAAGTTTACGCAAGGATAAAAAGATGAATAAAGCATCGTTTTATTATTAATTAATAATATCCAAAGTAGTCCCTTATGAGTACTTTTAAAAACTTTAAATAATGGCGTTGTTATTTGCTGTAGTTGTTATTAAAAGTTTCGAATATCAAATACTCAGGTGTGCAAAATATTGGATTATTGATTGAATATTTGATTGTGTTGACAGTCGGATAGAAAAAAGGAAGTTCTTTTGATTTGTCAAAAACCTGTAATAAAGATAAAGTTGTCGGAGTTATCGAAGTTTTTAGATTGAATGACTTGTTTTCCTGTCAAACAATTACTAAGACAAGGGCAGTAATAAACATAAATTTCTGGGATGTAACAGTTGTTTGTCAGTTGATATAATTTAAATCTCTCCAATTAAAACTTGAACGTATTGTAGATGAAAATGACAAGAAGAGGTCATTGTTGTGGTCCGAACAAGTCATGATTAAATATTTACATTAAAACTTGGTACAGAAAGTTTCACTTTCTTACAATTAATTTAATTTAAATATCTTTAAACAACTGTCTCAAACTTCTGTAAAAGGGAGTTTGGTGAAAATGAAAAAATGCGAATATTCCTCAATTTTGGTTCGTAACAATTTATTATTTCCAAGTTAGTATTTGATGGCGCAATTAAATATTACAAAAGTACGGAAATAATTATCATATCATAAAAAGATGAGATTGTTCTAAATTAATAACGAAAGCCAACAAAAAGTTAAATTAAGTTTTGAATAAAACGGTTAAAAAATTAATTTATGGCGCTCTTATTATCGCAAGCACTTTTAATAGATAATAAGGTATTATTATTAAAATTGGAATTCTATATACCTATTAAAACAATTGATTTTACATATAAATGATCGTTTTATATTTTGCAAAACTGATTTATTTATTGTTTGTGATTTTTAGGTGCTTCTGACGTAACCTGTAATAACAACAACAAGGAAGAAACGCCACCTTACCACTTTATCCTATTCCAATTTTAGTAAAATCCTCTTTGGGGGGGCTTGCATTTTCTATAGTGTTTTATTCTGAATCTTTTCGCAAAAAAATTATACAAGAATTGATTCTTACTGAATACTAAAACCAAACACGCTACCACAAACAAAAACTTCATCTACATTAAATCAAAATCTGATAAATAAGCGATTTGTTGTCGTTCTTATTTTGTTAAAAGAATTTACGATACGTCGCGATAAGAAGAAAATAATGTAAAGCACAATTTTACCTAGAGTTTTTTATTGATTATTATTTATTGTTTATGATTTACTATTTTTATTCTAATGTCAAAGCACTTTTAACATAATTTGAAATCATTTCAGGCCCAGGCTATGAATTTTCCTGAAATATGCATTTTTTATCATAATATACTAAAGCAATTATAATAGAGCCATTGAACGTACCCTTGGGAATTTTGAATTAATCTCCTTATATTTCTGTGTTAAAAGGTTTGCAAAGTAATGAAGCGGTGTGGAAAGTTAAACAATTGAACTGTACGATATCAAAGGAAAGTAATAATGCTCAAAATCTTTATAAAATTAACGCCAAGAAAGCAAAGAGTTTGTTTTAGGTACCAGGTCGATTTATGCAAACATGCAATTTAATCTACACAGTTTTAAATAAATTATATTATAGACTATTAAATAACGGCAAATGCATATAATAGCAATCCTATATTAAATACTTTGTGTCCCTCAAACATATTTTGTTGCTTTTTTGTAACAAAGCTTCCATTACCAGCACTGTTGTATAAGAAAGCAGGAAATTAATTCAATTGTTTTGTAGTTAAGTCACAGTAAAATATTTCTGTCTTTTTCATGATTTCATGAAAGTAACCCTGAAACCCTTTTAGTAATTAAATAGACTCGACGAAAACTTTACTATCGTCGTCTTTTACATTTTGTTAACACTGCAACTCTACTTTATTTTGTACTCTGTACTGGCTTGCTAATTAATTGACTGTATCTAATTTTTGGTTAGGCCTCTTTTGTAATTTGCACAACATCATCTATACAGAGTCCGCCAGAACTCGCGCCCTAGTGAAAAATGCGGTGTTCCATGTTCCTGGTATCTTATTATCTTATTTGAAATTGTTGTTTGGCGTGCGAGTTTTGATACACTCTGTATAACTATAATACTTAACAAAATATCCATTTTTTACACCTTCGGTGTATTTACGATCAAGCAGCCGACATTTCTGTAGGTAAATTGGTTTATAGCCGGACTATAAAGCGAATATCGCAATCAATTGTGTCCTAATGGATTTCAATAATGTAACAGATAAAGCAAATACCGTACCATAGTTTAAAAGTTGTTACAAATCATAGTGTGTTACAGCATTTTAAATTAATAATTATTTGTGTTACTAGAAAGCAAAATATATATTACAATAAAAAAATTTACATTACGATATGTTTTATTTTTATAAAAGTTGAATGCGTAAAAATGTATTTATTTGGATTAAAAATTTACTGAGTTTTAAATATTCAAAATTTTGCGAGAGTTTAAGTGTCATATTAATTAAATAATTAGTTTGTCAATTTTCAACACGCATGTAATTTACATTGTTATATTCATGTTCCGAATTGATGGGTTAATTAAATTTTCGGCGGTTAAAAACAGAGGGAGCTTCTTTCTATTGATGATTCAATTTTGATTTTTTAGAAATAAAAAAGGGTAAAAGAGAACTTGAAGGTATCTAAATCTGCATGTGTCGTCGCAAGTTGCTAGCTCCATTAAATAGTGTATGAAGGCCTCGCTGTGCAAGGAATTTAAGATTTGACACGTTCGTTCTAAATTGGCGATGAGGTACAAGAGGTATTTTCTAAAACTATTGTAAATCTGAGAAATAAAAATGTTATGAACATTATTTACGTGGAGAAAACCAATTTTTTGCGGGTCTTGTGTATGGCCGACGTTGCAATAAAACGGGCGAGACCTTTTAATAATGGAATATTTAATAAAAAGTTGATTTTCCAGTCGTTTCCTTCAAAATACTTTAATAGTTTGAATCAATAAAGAGTAACGAGATTCTGTAATTGAAGATAGTGTAAAAAATTGAGAAATATTCAAGATTTGTGGAAAAAATGTTTTTATCCCAAATTAATTAAGTTTTTTGTTGCAAAGAAGACAAATCTTATATTTATAATAAATTTCAGTAATTCATTTGAATCGCTATTTTCAATTCCAAAAGTTATTATTTTAATCACATTAAGGTGCTGGCTTAGAATAATTCTGTTGTGAATTTTCGGTGATAATTTACTTACGGCTTTAATGACCGGTCCACAATTCGAAGATTGAGTTTTCTTGAAATTACCTCAACATACATAATTTATAAACTCAAATAGCAACTGCATTAAGGACATTTCATGCACATTCTCTGGTACAATATAAATGCAAACACGCTCAATGTCTATAATTTTCTATAAAAGAACGAATGATTTTTTCGGAAGATAACACGAATGCCAAAAACCCACCTTAATTTTCAAGAAGCATTTGCTAATGGTAAGAAAACATGACCCGGAACCACAGGATCACTTTTTATTTACACCATCGTAATCCCAGCAGGACGTACTCTCAGAGTTAGCGGCACATTTCCGTAACGAAGCGCTTTCGAGGTTTTCTTCAAGTTGAAAAAATGCCGAAACTCCAAACTGATTTTAAGAGCGTGTTTCAGGAGGGACGCCGGTCCGGGGCGTCTTGTAATCAGCGTCGGTTTTAAAAGACTGACTTGGAAACTCCGGGCAAAACGATGGTATTGGCGAGCATCTACGAATTTTCACGATTTACTCTCAAAACTTAACACAAACAGTTGGTATAGATTTCCCGGTATGCGATTCGACACAATGTTTCCAATAGGTGACATTAATTGACATTTGTCATTTCCAATATTTCTTCCATCTACCTAAAGCTCTAATTCCACCGCCGGCGCCGCTCCGACTTAATTTTATTACACTCTCAAATTTTTTGCATAACCTATAGCACACCTGAATTTTCCCATTCAAACCAACGATAAATCAATTATGTTCAATAAAAAACTGGTGGAGCCTCTTAAATAACACTCTACAACTCGCAATTTTTCTTTTTCTCAACAATCGATTTTTGGACTCTATCAAGCGTAGACAACCACCAAACGAACTACAATGTTTTCATGCCTTATAAATTGATCAAATTTTGTCGAAGATTCATCACAATTTCATCGTTTTCGAAGACCCAACTTTAAGCAATTTAATTATGTTATAGAGACACCAACACACGTACACATTGACCACTTAGTTTCCGATCAATAAAAATATTGCTAAGATTGAACAATTCATTAAATTCTTATGGTCATAGCTATACGTTTTATAGTTTTCAAAACTGTTACGGGCAATATAATAGTCTCTATATAATAACATAATAGAAGATTATAACCACACGCTCAAATTATTCACTTATTTTTACAAAAGAGTTCAACAATTGTTTACAGGATTAATCGAAAACCAAATCAATACATAATAAACGATATGAATCTATTACCTCATAATAAAATTACTATTAATTTGATTCTATAATACTCTACTCTTATGAAGCTACGAGTATTGGACATTTATTTTGAAAAACTTGAATATAAGGTGGTTTATTTATGTTCAAATAAACCTATACTTTAAAAATGATTAAATTTCCAAGATTCAGAATAATTAATTAATTTATGGATTTATAAATGGTGTGTGTTTTTGTTAAACATAGTTAATTTAAATATCAAATCTGATATGTTAAAGATTCTATATTTTCATTTCTCTGTTTGTGGCTTGTTGAGGATTATTGCTTTCACATTTTGAGTGTTTCTGGAAACACCGTTTGGGGGCTCAATAAGAGCTCCTTCCTATCTACCAAATATGGATCAACGGCTGCGTTTGTGCGACAGCCTAAAAAAACCTACGTCTTGAGATAAAAGAAGCGTATGCAAATACATAAATCTGATGTGAATTTTTACGAATTTTATTATTATGGTGGTTAAACTTAACTTTTTTTAGGCAAGTAGGTAATAATAAAACATTTTAGACTTTCTCAAGTTTATCTTTGTCTAAACTGAAAATATAGTCGACATACTGTTGTTAATACTTCATTATTTATTGATTTTTTTAAATTATTTTATTACAAAAATATAGTTTTAATTGCTGTTTTTAATTATTGCGTTTAAATAAAAGCGGGCGAACTTTACGAGTATTTATTATTATAACATTTTAAAAACACAAACAACCGCAATAAAAAATGTGACAATTTGTAAAACCATAAATACTTCAATAAAATTTCATTTACAAATATGTAGTTTACACTAATTTTTAATTAAACTATGAAGAGTTACAAATTAAATGAATTACAGTGCAGCAACAATTTACAAGTGCAAAGTTTATTAAACTTGTCTTGTTGTTAATTATTGGATTAAAACAGTTCTACTCTTGCACTTGATCCACATGTCTAGACCTCATAAGGTGGGAAACGTTCTACCGGGTGCGGCATCCACTACGCCCAGAAAGAAAATCCCCACTTCTAATTAAATAAAATTGTTGAATTTTTTCACACTTACCTGGGCATTAGTAAGGTACATTCTCTAATTTTTTTGTAATTTTGCATTTACAAACAAAACCAAAAAAATAAAAAGTAATTTTCTCCCAAAATGTTTAATTCTAATTTTTATACTGACCTAGGCAGATTCACTTCCTACAATTGTTTACAAAATCAGAAAAAAAATACCAATTAGATTTTGAATTAAACGCAATTTTCCATCTTAACTTTAAAAATCATTTTTATTTATGACGTGCTACTTGTGCCATCGTAAATTTAGGTGACAACAGGGAACTGCAATTAGGGTAAGAGTTCAAAGTTTACAACAAAAAGACCCTTTAAAGCGATCAGCTACCAGTAAATGATTCTTTTGTTGGCAAATTATACCATTTTGTCATAAATCACGGGTCTGGTTTGTGTTTAAATAAAAGAAAACGATTATTTGGATAACCAAGTTAAAATTTGAAATTGTGATACCAAAGTTTGATGTGCTAACAGGTACAGATTCATTTAATGTAAAAACTTTATAGGTAAATTAACAGAAACTATTCATAAAACATACACAACTGTTACGGACTCATTTATTATCAAAAAAAAATTAAAAAAATCTCAAATTATACCCTATCAATAATTAGTTAGATATTTTTTTATTGTTAAATTTACTTAACAAAACATTCGGACAAAAATGGCCATAGTAATCCCCGTAACCGGAGCGCTCCGGAATCTTATGTATAATCACCTTAGGAATTCAAATTTGCGCATAAAGTGTTAATATCGGATGTTTTAAGAAAATCAAAACACTAACGGTCTTATGGTTATTTCTGAAAGAAAAGCAACCATTGGTGGTTGAGATACTGTGAGTTCGTTTTCTTGATTAGAGAACTTAATGCAGTATTTACAACAAACACAAAGCTTGAGCATCCAAGATCCCAAATGTGATATACATTTTAATTTACATACGTTTGCATATTAGTTGCTATTTAATACAATAGCATCGTTAATTAATTGTACAAAAAATTAAGTTCTTTGGTTTTCAAACAAACATTCAATCACTAAATGCAATAACAATTTAGATAAACTGTTTTAACCGCTTGCTTCTATAAAACTAGTTAGCCATGACATCAATTAACAAATCTTTTTAGGAGTAATTTGTTTTCAACCTTTAATAAGATAAATTGGGTTTTATAGCTTGTTTAGACAAAAAAAAACAACAAATCCTGATTTTTGATTTTTGATTATGTTTAAGGACATGAAAAAATAGCATCCCTTTTTTCTTATTTTTATAAAAGTAACTCTAACAAATTTGTTATCAGTCTACATAATTTTCCCGATGGCTATATTGTAAGTTCTATTTTTATTAGATTTCAGAACTTGGGCTAATTCCTGAAGTTAAAATAAAAGACTGCACATTATAAACCAATCTACTTTTGATTAAACTTTATCTTTAAAGTTACGAATAATAAGAATATACTTTTAAAAAAGAATCAAAGCAAATAGAGCTTGAATATTACAACAAAAGAGGAGGAACGTACTTTCTTGTTATTGTTTAATATTAAAATATATTATTCAAGGGTTCAGCACTATTATTTGATTGCTTTTAGTTTGTTTTATGGCAAAATGTAAAAGTAAGTAAATGTACTTAAATAATATAAGCTTCAACAGTGACAATTTGCGCTTTTTAAAGTCGGCATACATTTTTGATTAGGAGTAAATTGGTTTTCGCTCTCTGTCAAATGTAATTTTTTATCCCCTTGCAATCTGGCAAGAGATGAATCGGACATAAAATTATCCGATTTTTAGCTCATGCTTGCGTAATTATATTTTTAAGCCGTGAATTCTTTTACTAGAAAAATATTTGCTTATCACTTAATTCAGACATCCTGGAAGTTAAGCTTCACAAACAACTGATGGTAAAGCAATAAAATTGGTACTAATAAAATTAATGTTGCAGGCTAGGTCTTTGTAGTTGCAAACTGTTTATTATTGCATTTGCGAGTAGTCTGTTCTGTGAAATATATGTAACTTTGCAAAGCTTGTCGCGGTAGAAAAATCGAAATGTTTGGCGCACTCAAATGTTTGCAGTGACAGCATAGAGGAGTTACTATTGAAATCATGTTAAAGAGTAATTTAACCTAAGTTGTCGGTTAATATCCGATGAGGAAAGATGCATCCTTGGTTGTTGATAAATGTGGTCAAGTCAGTCGACGCGTGACTTATATCAATTACTATGCTATGATAGGTGCTAATTTCGGGGCATTTGTATAACGCCTTCGACGTCTCGAACGAGAACGCTCGATCTGCATACATACAACGCAGAAATTCTACTTGTTACTAACCTCATTTATTCAATGGTGTTAAATATACCGCTTCGGAGGAAACACTAATGACCATCTACATACCGAATAGAATACAAAATGTTTTTAACATGCGATTCCGAACTGTTTATCTTATCTAAAAACGTACACGCCTTTTAAAATAGCCCTCAAATGACTAAAACAGACCATATAGTCTCTGCAGACTTCCTTTTAATTGAATTTTGCCTCTTTACATACGAAATCAGTTTAACGAACAGAACACAAATTTTAGTAATCTACAAACACTCTGTATATCTTCTGACGTCACGTAAAATATCGTTTTCGTACGAAATGCAAATTTGCTTATGCGTCAAAGCCATTCGTTTAGAGTTATGCTCCAATTCAACTGTACTGACAACATTTTTATGGTAATCCAATCATAAACCTATTCACTCCATATGCTTAAGCATAAACTATATGCACGTCCGCACTAAGACACTAATCACATTTCAAGCAAAAATGTTATTAAATATTGATAATTCAAGCAAAAGCTGCCGGTTCTTTTAATTAAAAATTGAAATCTTGCAGTATTCTGTATATTGATACTTAGAATAAGAGTATACAAGCTGCAAAAACGGAATCTAACAATAACTGGCTTTTTTATTCCAAAAAAGGGAAACTTTGTTTTCCAGGAAAGC